CGCTTATTTTTCTTATATACCATTTGTATTACAAACTACAATAGCTCTTTATTATTCGTCATACAAAAAAAGTGTTTAAATAATTATGAAAGAGGATAAACGAAAAATTATTTTCGAATATACCTATGGAGCGATCTCTTACATCTAACCCGGAAACGCATCTCAGTCACTTTCATAGTAGATGTAGCGCTTTGTCCTTCAATCTAACAATAACAAATGGAGAATCAATCCACATATATTTGATTTTACTTTCACAAACTTATTTTGTTATAATAAAAGTGTCGATAATCAGCCGAAATATGACGGATTTTGATATTTCTCATGAACATCCATTTATACAGGCTGTATATGTATCTCGCTTAATATACGACACACGTCAAAAATCTTTATATTTTTTTTGTTGCCGTTATGCTCGTAAAAACAAATTTGATACTCATGGCCAACTTTGTGAGTAATCATAAAGAAACCGGAAAAGTACCGAAACAAATTTCACTAAATATCGTTAAATTAATGAATTTAAATAAAATGATTTGACACAAAATTGAACTACGCATAGATAACTTATAAGAAAAACATTGAAGTACATTTTGCTACACTTAAAACATTATCAGTTTGTTCATTGATACTCGGTAATTTTTTTCGCTGCTCATCGAAAGTATAATAAGAAGATAGGCATCTCCCACTTCAGTTTCACATTTGTGATGTGATGAGTGGTGAAATAAATCTCGTGTTCAAACAGTGACTGATTATTAATTAGCACTTGTATATTTATATACAACATTGTTTAGAGTTCATATCATACATATTTCAGAAGATGATTATCTTATCTTATGAAATAAACAAATGAGTAATTTTTTTGCAAATAGGGAACGTACTAAATTTAAAAGGGTACAAACTACGTCTTTTGAATTGCAGTATTTACTGGCACGAATATTTTTGAAGAAAAATATGTTACGCCACTGCTTTTTCTTAAAGTAAATTCATTTTTGAAAACATTATTCCTTTCTGAGCAAATGTGGTTTCTTGAATTCATTAGTACGCTGTTATGAAATTAGGTACTTATAAGAATTAAAAACGATCTAGTAGCTAAAAAGCAGATTTTATTTTGCAAACATAAACAGTTTCGACAGTTGCCTATCCAGTCTAGTTGTCACGTATTTAAGTTATTAACATTAACAATATTATTTAAAAAACATGTATGGGGTTGCTGATGGTAACGCACTGGAAGCCAGGCGGTTGTAGGAAGACCGCTTTCCAAATAGAAATATTCCGAATGCGCGAACATTTTCAATCATTCATAGAAGATTGTGCGAAAAGGGAAGTTTTTAAACCAGACAATCATCTAAAAGGAGTACACCGTACTGTAAGAACTCCAGAAATTGAGATAGCGGTTTTGAATTCAATTGAGGAAGATCCAGCATTAAGTACAAGAAATAATGGAAAAAATTTGAATGTCTCACATATTCTTATTTGGAAAATTCTCCATGACTTTTTATTATACATATCCCTACCATATCCAATGGGTTCAAGCTCTACTACCTCGCGATTTTTCATTACGGATAAACTTTGCCAATGGTTTCTTCATAAAGTGAATGAAATTCCATTATTTGACACTGAAATTTTATTCACCGATGAAGCCAACTTTTCCAGAAACGCCATCCAAAACTTCCACAACAATCACATTTGGGCTGAAGAAAACCCACACGCAATCTTGGAATCCCGTCAACAGGAGCAGTTTTCCGTTAACGTGTGGGTTGGAATATGCGGTGATTATTTAATTGGACCCTATTTCTTCATGAGAGGTTAAATGGACATAATTACCGGCATTTTCTCGAAGAAGAATTGCCAGGTTTGATGGAGGTTGTTTCCATTTTAGTAAGAAATCGACTATGGTTTATGCACCAGCGCACTTCAGTGCTCTGGCGCGCGAAAATTACAATAATCGCTGGATAGGTTGCGACGGACAACACTCATGGCCACCTAGGTCCCCGGACCTCAATGCTTTAGCTTACTTCCTATGGGGTCATCTCAAAACATTGGTTTACAGCACACCAATTCATACTGAAGAGCAGTTGAGAAATCGCATCATAGTTTGTTGCGAAACTATTAAAACCACTCCCGGCATTTTCCGGGTACGTGAGTCCATGAGAAGAAGAGCAGAGGCATGCATATTTGCAGGTGGACATTTCCAACATCTGCATCATATTTATGCGAAAACCGTACGTCAAAGGAAAAAAATTCAAGACACCACATTTGCTCAGAAAGGAATGAGTATTTCTGTACTTTAGGAAAAAGCAGTGGCGTAACATATTTTTCTTCAAAAATATTCAATACAAATCCTGTACAGACGCCACTGGCAAAAATAATAAAATTGTTTGTACATCAGAAAATGCATCTCGATGAATAGAAGGCGTGTACCAAATTTGAAAACATATCTAGGGTAATACCAAAGTTATCATAAAGAAATGTTTTTTCATAAAACTTTAGCACTCTGTAGTTCAAAAGTTAAGACTTTTAGGACATATGTTCGTATGAAGTTTATTTCTTAAAATTGACCCAAGAATAACCTCTTTAAATATTAGCACGTTATTAAGAAACACCCTGTATATCATGTTCAAAAAATAAAGGTGCTGAAACCCGAAGATCCACCGAGACATGTAAAGTAGTAGTATAGGAGAAAATACAATGAGAGGAGACAACTTTTGACTCAACTGTGTTGAGGCGTGTTTGGACAGCAATGGAGGGAATTTTGAGCAAATGCTTACAAATCGGGCGAGGAAACAAATTTGTTACTTATTCTTCTGCTGAGTTACTTGTTATCTAGTGTTTCATAGTCATAGTACTTCCCTGAAACATATGTATTAGTGTTTGTTTTATAGATTCGTATACATTTAATTTTCTTGCCTTAGCTAATTGACTACTCTTAAAACATTAAGTTTAATCACAAGCATATAGTACAATTACAGTTTAATATGAATGACAAGATAGATTTTGCAATTCTGCCCTGTTAAGCCATAAAGTCGTAACTGTCAAATAGTTGATTTTGAGATAATTAGCATTTTCTCTAGTCTAATTTGCAGTGAAGACTATAACATTCAGAAAAGATATATTTATTACATACTACTAATTTTTACTTGCAGATTTTGTTTTTTCACTTTATTTTGTTGTGCATACAGCCCAAGTATGATATTTGACACATGCGACATTTTCTGTTAATAATGATGAAAATTGAAACTATGAGAAAAGTAGTATCTACAATAAATTTCAATTGTTCATTAATTGTCATTTGCCTATTACTATCAATTTTTAACTGATATTGTTTCTTACAATTTGTGCAAGATGCTTTGATTTGATATTTATTCTTACTGGTCTTGATTTTGATTTGATTTAGTTCAAATTTACTCTGAGCTTATTTTTTTCTTTTGCGTAATTTGCCTTTTTTAGTAAATTGGGCATTGCTTGCAGAGAACCAGATATTTTCAAAAATGTCGTCCATAATGCCCTTTACTACTTCTGAAGAACATTCATTAGAAACACGCAATATAATATTGCTCAAAATATTAACTTTTGGATTTTTTTTCTCTATTTTTAGCACTTAAATCCACCCACACATTTTTAAAAATATCATATGATATCTACTGTTTACTACATCTACACTTTCTACAAAAACTTCCTCTTCTTTGTATATCGATACGTTGTTTATGCCCTTAATTTTTGTTTTTACATTTGCAATATCTTTAAAACTGTTGCAATTACTACTACTACTACTACCACTAGCCCTATCCATTTCTTCCATATCTGGCTCATATTCGCTGCTACTACTATCATCCTCTCGCTGCCTTTTTGAATAATTCAACTTTCTAAGAAAATCGATTTTCTCAGCAAGTTGCTTGATAATATGCATAATTAGATAAACAGGAACAAAATATGTAATTACTTACTAAATAAACAACTCCGGGGATACGTTATAATAAATATTACTACCTCACACTTTAACAGTCTAGAATGAACGAGACTAATTAAAAACTGAATCATTCCCACACCAAATCACTGTTTATCTGCTAACTAGTTACAAACTGAATCTGACAGATGGTAGATATTATTTTGTAGATGGCGCAGTTGTACAGTTGTTAGTACAGTCACTAAATTACAGTCACTAGATAACATATGTTATCTAGTGACTGTAGATATGTTATTTAGTGACTGTATAGTGACTGTAGTTGTTAGACGAATTGGTCGTATCTGTGTGATAAATATTACAGATACGACTTTTTATTCTAACATTTTCAGATACGACTTTATTTCTAACAAAGACATGGAAATTGTAGATACGACATTCACATTTTGAGGTATATAGCCTATAATAATAACAAATTCGTCCTTTTTTTCTTAACAAACTGATAAAACTGATGTCGTGGAGTATTAGTAACCCTGTACTTGAAATTGGGGATAATTGCAGTTACGACTTTATGGCTTAACAAGGCAGAGCAATGGAGGGAATTTTGAGCAAATGCTTACAAATCGGGCGAGGAAACAAATTTGTTACTTATTCTTCTGCTGAGTTACTTGTTATCTAGTGTTTCATAGTCATAGTACTTCCCTGAAACATATGTATTAGTGTTTGTTTTAAGATTCGTATACATTTAATTTTCTTGCCTTAGCTAATTGACTACTCTTAAAACATTAAGTTTAATCACAAGCATGTAGTACAATTACAGTTTAATATGAATGACAAGATAGATTTTGCAAATACTAAAACATAATTTACATTTTTATCATAAGAAATTGTTAAAATGAAATAATTCCAAAAACTGATTATAACTGATATATTAAAACAAAGTAAAATTATAACAAATGATAACTGGCCATAAATATAATTCCATGTTTAGATTAAATTGAAGAGTTATTCACTTAACACTTGAGTTAATTGCGCAAATGAATCATATCAGTAAAATTGTACAAGTTAAAAAAATATGGCGACAGATAAAAAACGTAGATACTATTCTCGTATAAAACTTAAAACATACTTGAAATTGTAACATTGCAATTATGTTCGCGTTGATAGTAGGATTGGCTATTGCACTTGTGCCTAATTCACAGGGTAAGGGTTTTCAAAACATACTGTATTGAAATATAAAAATTATTCTCAATTTTTTATATTTTTTTTTAGCTGCGCCTGTGGATGTTGAGCCTCGCGTTGTGAATGGAACAGATGCAGATATAAGAGATTTTCCATATATGGTAAGAACTAATTTTCTGAATTCCACATTCCTATGAAAAATATAAATGTTTAGAGTTTCAAAAATTATAATCTGGTTCAAGCGCTCTCCTTGTAATTAGTTAATTGAAAATTTCGAAGAAATCACCACCCAATAAATCGTGAACATCATAGCTCTTACATAATGTATTGTGCAATTAAAAATTAATTATCTGCGTATAATAACCATTTCCAATTTTAGGTCTCTGTTCAGTTCAATGGAAGACATACATGTGGAGGCTCAATTATCAACAGATATAATATTTTAACAGCTGCTCATTGTGTTACAAGGTTAGATACGTGTTATTCAATTGATACAGCACTGAATTATAGGTCATTTCAATATTATTTTCTAGAGATTTGGCAAATTTTACCATACTGCCAGGATCCACAAGTATCACAAGCGGCACAGCCGTGCCAGTGGAGAAGATTATAATACACCAAGACTACTCAGGATTTATGCCCCTTTATCACGACATCGCTATTGTTCAAGTAAGATTTTATTAAATTAGATTAAAACCCGTAAATATATTGTTAATTTATTAGCTAGTTTGGCCGCTAAGATTTAATGAAAGAGTGCAACCAATACGACTACCTAGAACTTTTGATCCTATACCGGAGCTTGCTGGCGCTGTTCTAACTGGATGGGGTCTTAATCATGTGAGTATTTCGTTTCACATCATACGTAGTTATGCTTTGCAATCCATGTTCGCCACGTTAAAACTGTCAATGTTTTGACCACACTTAGCGCTAGGCTAGTTTGGTTTGAATATATACCTACTATGGTCACGGTGGTTCAAACAGATTTTAGTTATGGACGAAACAGCTTCACACTGTTGATCATAAAAGAAGTACTGCCCCAGAAAAATACCGTTACAAAATACCATTACTCTTTAACGACATCGTTGAGTCATCCTGTTTTGTATTTATACATACAGGGATAGCCAAAAGTACGGAATAAAATTCATATCTTTTGAATGAGTTAATTTTTTTTAAAACGCCGAAACACGTTAACTGATTTTGATTTTTTCCGATCTGTCGGTTATATAATAATTAATTTTTCTTCAACCCCCTAACCCCCAGCTACCCCTACTTTTTTTTTCAAATGGAAACATAAGGCATGAGGGGGCTCGTTGAAAAGCTTATAGAAAACCGAATCCAGCCATACCAAATAAACAAGTTTTATTTTTTCAATAGCAAGGTTTTTAGGGTTGTATAAAACACCTACTTAACAAGTGAAATAAAATTTAATTATCTTCAGTGTTATCCTCCATGAATTTGCACAGAATAAAATAAAGAATTTGAAACTGTACCTATCACTGCTAACGCAAAAAAGATATATTTTTTATGTTGCGTTTTTTTGGCACCACTTACTTGCCAGGCTTTCTGGTTAATTTTTCGCTTTAGTTGTAAATTGGAGTTCGAAACGTTACTATTGTGTCAAAATCAAGTTATTTACTGAATTGCAATGGTATTGTCGGAAAGGCAACGCATCGAAATCTTGATATTGCTTGGATGTGGAGACAAAATAAGAAGTCAGGCTGAAGTGCGCGATTTATTTAATGCGAAATATCCCGAAAACCAAATCTCGCAAGGGACAGTTAGTAAAATATTTCACAAATTTGAGGAACACGGTACAGTACAGACTTTGCCCAAAACTGGACGGGCACGTGCTTTGAATGAAGAAAAGAAATTAGACATTGCATTAGAACTTGTTGAAAATCCTCATACTTCAACTGTTTCATTGGCCCGCAATCACGATGCTTCTCGAACTGCAATTCGAATGTTTCTGAAACAAGAGAAATACCACCCCTATAAGGTATGTCTTGTCCAAGAGCTTTTGGAAGACGATTATGATAGGCGATTACAATTTTGTGAGGAAATGATGAGACGGTGTGACGACAATAATGGTTTTCAACGAGACGTACTTTTTTCGGATGAAGCTACGTTTTATTTAAATGGAGTGGTTAACAGGCACAACTATCGCTTTTGGTCCCAGGAAAATCCACACTGGACATGCGAATCGCATACGCAGCATCCACAAAAAGTTAATGTATGGGCAGGTATCATCAACAACAGAATCTTGGGCCCATTCTTTTTTGAAGAAAATCTTACTGCCGCACGCTACCTGGATTTCCTAACATTTGACCTGATACCTGCTCTAGCTGTGATTTTCCCTCATGAAATTGATCCAGATATACCGAATGAAAGAATTTGGTTCCAACAAGATGGCGCTCCCCCACATTTTGGTATTGATGTTCGAAGATACTTAGATGAAATGTTTCCAAATCGCTGGATTGGTAGACGGGGTACAGTTGAATGGCCGCCAAGATCCCCCGACTTAACACCCCTGGATTATTTTCTTTGGGGATATTTGAAAGAAAGAGTCTACCAGGACAGACCGGATAATATTGAGAATTTAAAGAACAAGATTAGGGCGGAGATGCATAATTTACCAGCTGAAGTCATTCAGAATGCTGTGGACAGCTTTTACTATCGTCTTGCCAAATAGTGAATGGAGGACATTTTCAGCATTTGCGACATTGAGTTTATTTTCGTAAATTATCTAGTTGTTTCAATTTCTAAATGAAAAAAAAAACTTGTTATTGAAAAAATAAAATTTGTTTATTTGGTATGGCTGGATTCGGTTTTCTATAAGCTTTTCAATGAGCCCCCTCATGCCTTATGTTTCCATTAAAAAAAAAGTAGGGGGTTGAAGAAAAATTAATTATTATATAACCGAAAGATGGCAAAAAATCAAAATCAGTTAACGTGTTTCGGCGTTTTAAAAAAAATTAACTCATTCAAACTATATGAATTTTATTCCGTACTTTTGGCCATCCCTGTATATTTCCTTAAAAATGGTATATTCAAATTTTTTACAAACTTATGAGATTTCAATCACAATCACTTACTTGTATTATTAATTAACTTGTATTATATTCGTAGTGGTGTATTCCAATATATATATTTTATAGCTGTGGTTTTTTTACGTCATAACTAAATATTTTCACCAACAAAATGTTACTAGATCACCTTAAAATAATTTATAAAAAATTTCTGGATTTATTTGTACTCACAAAAAAAGCTGTTCTTCTTGCAATGAGTGATATCTCAATCGTCGTATAGTTCGGGCGAATAAGGTTTTTTCAAAAATCGGGCCCAACTCAAATTTTATGGGCTTAAAATTAAGTAAAAAATAAACAAATATACAGAATAAAAGCCTAAATTTGTGAATTTGTAGAGGTCGAGCGTCATATTGTTTATAACAAAAGAAAAAAATAATTGTTCTTTTTTCAGTTTTTCGCTTCTATCTCGAAAATAAGCCTCCAATCAACATGAGGTATACTTATCGGTTTTGTTCCTGACTTACTTTTAATATAATTATAAAAATTTAAAAAGACAACTTTCGCTAGCAATAAATAAATTAAATACGCAAAAAGACTTTCTTACTTTTCAGAATATCGAAAGCATAATAAAATTACAAAAGAAAACGTGACAAGTCAATAAAAATGTTTTTTGGGGTCTGGCGATGACTTCTACAGACTTTTGCCTACACCATTAAAAAAAGAGCAAAAAAATGATTTGATTTAAAAAAGCATCCCGGTGTCACTATGACGTCACAGCGCTCCCCTCTCCTGGCTACCGCTCAGCCGCGTGGGCCGGCGCGCAGATCACTGTCTTTAATGAACGTTTACTTAGTCACTTTTTGGTCGAATCCATCCAAAAAATAAATTCAGCATATAAAGGAAGTCTTCTACTTTACAACGAGCCGAAGTTTATTACAAAATAATAAATAGAACAGCCAGAATACCGTTTTTAAGAAAATAATTATCTCGGCTCCTATTGGTCGGATTGAGACGCTTTTTTTTTAATTCATGTTTTTTTAAGCACTATTTGTAACTGGTTTAAAATCTATATATTCAAAAAACCGCCGAGATAAGGACCCCAGTAGGGTGGCCCAAAAAAACGAATTTTTTTTTCGTGTGATTTATTTCTATTCTTTTGTTCATCAAATTCAATCAAAAAATTATTAGTTTGTGGATATTTATTTTTAGAGGTCACTCGAAAACATTTTAGGTACACTACCTTTAGAAATTAAAATATCGATTTGAAATTTTCAGAATCGAGATTTTTTGCAACCTAGAAAATGATAAAATAACGAAAGAAAAAAATTAAAACAAAATAAATTTTTGACGAATTTGGAAATTTTTAAAAATATTGAACGACCTCTAAAAAATTTTTTTATGAAGTTATTTTTTGAGGGGGCTCTTAAAACTTCATAAACTAACATATTTTCACAAGAGACACGAAAAAAATATATATTCGTTTGTTTTGGGCCACCCTATTACCCTAGTTATCGTTTTTTTTTAGTTTTTTGTTAATAACTTTTTTATTTTGCAACTAAAAAATCTGAAATTTACACAGACGCGAAATAATATCTCGCGTCTAGATAATAGATAATAATAATAGTAATATATAATAATTATATAATATATAATATATAATAATAATTTAAGATCTATAATTTTTGTCAGGGCTACTTTTTTGATAAAACTTACCGTTTTCGCAAAAAATTCAAAAAACCTCAAATTTTGACGTTTGACGCCGAATAACTTTTTTAGCACACATGAGATCGATGGGGACTTTTGACACTTTATTTCTAATGGTGTACCCAAGGTCTCCACCAAAATTTAGCTCTGTCGGAATTTTCGTTATTTGACCACTGTTTTTATGTCTAATTTGACCGAATCTTTTCTTAACCGCTAATTTTGCAGTGTAAAAAAATATTGCGAGCTTTCGCAAAAGCCTATCCTTGTAGCAAATGCAGGAGCAAAATCGATAAGTATACCTCATGTCGATTAGAGGCTTATTTTCGGAGGTATAAGCGAAAAACTGAAAAAAGTACAATTATTTTTTTTTCTTTAAACAATATGACGCTCGACCTCTACAAATACACAAATTTAGGCTTTTATTCTGTTTATTTTTAAACAGGCATGTGTTTGCTCTAATTCGCCCGCCACTGCAATTATTATTAAATGCAACTTTTAGGTCTGTAACATGTAATTTCAAAAACATTTTCTGACAAAGGAAAAATGACTTTTACAAACCGTTGTAATTAGAACAGGATGCTTGAAAGCTAAATTATTTCATGTTATACTTTATAAGAAAGCTAGTAGTAAATAATGAATTAGAATCCTATTCATTTTTTTTACATTTTATTTTCCATTTCTCTTAATAGCGAGAAATGTTGCTGTTAGCTTCTTTCTAGACCCTTTAGTCCCAAGAGACTTGACTGTTCTTACATTTGCAGACGTCTCTTTTATCCGACTGCAGCTGACAAAGTTGTGTCGTCTCAGCAGTACTTCTTTGTTTTTGTTGCAATTTGTACATTTTTAACACAGGAATAGAAGACATCTTCTATGTCTCACGTGCATTAATATATTATTTCTTTCAATATTTGAAAGAGTAGACAAGTAATAATACGGAAGGCGTACTTAAATCGTTATGGCACTGATATCGAAATCGTTTATATTTTTTGATTCCAGTATTATTAATACTTAGAAATTGTATAAAACGAATACTCAAAAATTTAGATTAGTGTCTTTGGAAAAGTAGTAGTAGGAGGTAAATCAATTTCTTTGGTTATAGCTCATCTTATAAAAAAAAACACTGTCACAGTAACTTATATGATTGTAAAAAAAAATAAGATGTAACACTGTTTCTACACTTTCCGTTACATAGTACAAAGTATTCTTTAATTTTTAGACTGATGGAGCCGTGCAGGACATTCTTCAAAAAGTCGATATCATAGTTTACGCAGACGCGGAATGTGAGAAGTTACATTCCTTGTCGGGACCAACTAACCGCATTACACATGTCTGTGCGGGAGTACCTGAAGGTGGTAGAGGACAATGTAACGTAAGTAATTCAGATTTTAAAGTGTTTGGTGAAACAAATGTTTTACTCTATTCTATTTCTTGCAATTTAAAAGAATATATCACATCCGATGTGACGCTAAATTGTGTGTCTGTGTGTTGTACATAAATAATGTGCTTTTTATTATTCCAGGGTGACTCCGGAGGTCCTCTAGTAGTTGATGGGACAGAAATTGGAATCGTTTCTTGGTCAGTAAAGCCCTGTACAGTTCAAGGATTTCCCGGAGTTTACGTGAAAGTTTCCTCGTACATAGATTGGATCAACTGCCATTTAAAAAGAGGAAATTACCCTTAAATACATTTTTTACGACTTGAATTTGTTTTATTAATTAATAACAGTTGTTGAATTATTATTGCTGTTGTCCTGGTTTACTCGTAAACTGCTAGATTTCGATAAAATTAGAAGATTCAATTTACTGGCACGAAAAATATAGACACTAAGATACCAGATATCTGTGTATGTGTGTAAGATTTTCTGTTCCCTGAACATAACGCAGGTTTCAATGGAGTAGATAAATATTTTTTATCTGCTCCTACTATAGTAAATAGAATAAGTGGACTTTACTAACTCCCTAGGAAAAAGCGATTTCGAATTATAAATGAAATAGAAATATTTGATAAACATTACATTTTATTAATTATTATGAATGAATATTTACAGTCATGTTTCTTGATTGCTAATACATCAATTCCTGTATTAGACAGTAACGTTGCCGATGTTCTTCGGAATGAATGACTATGTTCTAGTTTAAAAAACTGTGCAATCTTATTAGGAATTATAGAAAAGGTATTCTTGCCGACTGGTTGCTTGTAACATCTACCTGCTTGATAGCGCATAAAAAACCGTGAAATTTCAGTTTTAATTTCCAATCTAACCTTGATATATTTCTTGAGAATTTCTAGGTGAGAAACAGAACCCAGATGAGAAGTAATTGTAAACGTACGTGACATACCATTTGACTGATCCATTAAAACAGCATGATGCGACGTACTACTAGAACCTGGAATTGAAGTGTCATTGTAAAGAATCCTGTGGACTATTTCATTTTTGTTACTTAAACTGCCAGCAACATAACTTTCTGCAATTGTGGCTGATTTCCACCCACCATGTCTCTTGATTGCTAATGCATCAACTCCTGTATTAGCCAGTAACATTGCCGATGTTTTTCGGAACGAATGGCCTGTATATGTTTCAGGATGTTCTAGATTCAAAAACTGTGCAATATTATTAGGAATCGTAGAAAGTGTATTCTTGCCGTCTGGTTGATTGTAACATCTACCTGCTTAAAAAAGCGGGAAATTTCAGTTTTAATTTCCAATCTAATTTTGATATATTTCTTGAGAATTTCTAGGTGAGAAACAGAACGCAGACGAGAAGTAATTGTAAACGTACGTGACATACCATTTTTAGAATATGGAATTGTAACTACAATAATGTAATCGAAAAATTTTTGAAGCTGACGTCCAAAGTAAGTTTGCATAACTCATCAGAACGGCATTCTCCTGCAATGCCTAAGACCGTCACTACCTTCATGTGTTATCGGGTGCCTGTTCTCTTGTAAAAACGTTTGACTTTTTAGATGTATAGCCATCATTCTTACGTTCAAAAATGCTCTCAGCCAACTATTGGAATCGTTCCAGTTTCTGCTAATAAATCCAGAAAACATTGTTCAAGCATGAAAAGGAGCACAAACAGGGGCAGTTATAAATTGTATAAATCGTTTGTGTAATGTTTAACTTGCTGGAACTTGGTAATTTCACAAATGTAAAAATAATCACAATTTAAATGACTAAATTTCACATAACTTGTGCCTCTGTCTATTTGCCCTACAATTGTATAAATTTTCTTGTTAATGTTCTGGTGCGAGATAGATTTTGACCGAAAGAAGCAGCCCGGAGATTGTTCCACCATTGACAAGAAGAATATTTTAAATGAACCAAGGAAGTTCATGTAAATATACTTTAACTTTAACATAACCTTTAATTAAAACATTTTGACCTAAGATAAATTGATTTAATTTCGATTGCTTCTAGGAATCCCAGCATACAAAAACAAAAACTTTTCTTTGTACAATTGCATATTGAGAACATTTGCTCTGCCAAACTAGTCAGATCGGATGAATAAATTAAAACTAATAGTGGACTCGGTACAGCTCCCTGAGAAGCACCACTTGCAACGTTAACAGAATTAGACTTACATAGAATTACCAACGCGTTACTTTGTCAATTAATGACAGAGATATTGTTAATAAATATTGTTGTATCTGTAATACTAGGTATTAGAAAAATTCACGAATAATAACACTTTTGGAAGTGTAAAAATTATAAAAAAGAAATAACGCAAAGTAAGAACTGTCAAATACGACATGCTTTTATGGAGATGAGCTTCATTATTTTATTTTGTTGAAGCTTGGATACTTTGTCAGTTCTAATATTCGGTAAAAATTCTAATATACATTATACAGGACATTACAAAAGGAATCAAATTCACTATAATTTAATATAATATAATTTTTAAATACGTGGAACCAGATTAGTTTCTTAACGGAAAGTTCTATGAATATTTTTCAGCTCCCGTTACAGGCCAGTCGAAAATGAATGAAAAATTCATTATTAATTGCTTCTACATCGTATCCTGGATAAACTTTTAATAGTGGGAGACGTTGTTCGTATCTCCTTAAGGAATTTGAGAATATGATCTTGGAATATTTGATTTTTCGCATAAAGTATGCAATTTTCATTTTCATGTCAAGGTTTAGTCAATAATTTAGATTTACTTGAACACAAAATTTCCGAGTTATTTATTATCTTTATTGACTCGAACGGAAAACACAATAGCAATCTTCTTATCTGTATTAAAAAAGTATGATAAATAATAATAATAATTAGTTCCATTTTCCATTAGTACCATTTTATTTAGTCCCATATTCAATTTTATTATTACTACTATTAATAGTTCTGTCCATTGATAGTATTGAATAAATTGAAATTATGCAATACTGAAATTCATTCATATATTATGTTGTTTAATACTAAATTATTATTTTCTAAATACACATTTTTTAGACATAAACAAAAGGAAAAATATAATATATATGAAAAGAGAGTGAGAAAAAACTTTAGAATAAAATTTTTATTTTGCAAGATAGCCAAACTAAAAACCATCTACAAATTGTTGCTTCCTTCCGCATATGTACTATTTGAAATTTCGCCTTTATTAACTTGACAATTTTTGCAGATACTTTTGTTTTCAAATGAATTACTCCCGATGTCCCGACTACGGCTATCCTTATTTCCAAAATAAGAAATAAAACTGAAGTTTAAAACAAACCGAGTAAAACAAACTTAATTTTAGCAATAAGGCAGATAAATCTTATTTAATGGTGCTTGCGTCCTGTTTCGGGAACATCCTGAAACTGGATCCAATTCAATTGTTTTCAATATCTACCGATAAATATCTTTTTATTTCAGCAAGAGGAATAAGCCGAAATATAACGGAGTTCTTGATATGATTATTGTTTTGGCAGAGTTGAAAATAAAACGTAAAAATAGTACCTATAGTGCATGCATTAATCAATTTTATTTTATTTTAGGCAATTAAAGTTATTTCCCCCAGTCTATATTGCTACGCTCTCACTACGTTGTCGTTCGCTGCGACGATTTTGAGGGATATTACAAAGGATACGTGCCAGTATCAGACATTGAGCTTTATACTTGCTCGTGCAACTATCGAATTGTTCCATCAACTTCTGAATGGTATCCAGAGTACGGCCGCCTTATATATAGGGAATATATGAATGACTACCAAGACTGTTGATTATTACTTTTAAATTCAAAATTTGACAAGTTTGTCATGTAACGAGCGTTCAAAAAAAAACGTGGTCAAGTTGGTTCTGAAAATTTGGACGTAGGGCGTAGCGTATAGCAAATGAACTTAAACGTCATCTGTCAAAGCGCTATATCGCCGCTATCAATTTGAATATTTTCGTTTTAAAAAGCGTTTAAAATGGTGTTTTCTCAAGAACAAAAAGTGTTTATCATAGAGTCCTACTTTAGAAATGGACGCAAGATTGATGGAATATGGAAGTATTCTATTGAGGAATGTTTCATAGAATTTCAAAATCAATTTCCCGGCGTTGTTGAGTACAAAATTTTTCAAAGTGCAGTTCAGCGTTGTGTTAATGTTTTTCGTGAAACGGGCAGTGTAACAAGAAAAGAAGGAAGCGGCCGACCTAAAAAGCGGACTGAAGAATTAAAAGAAAATGTCCAACAAATAATGGAAAATGCGCCAAGAACTTCTGTACGTGTTTTATCACAAATGGTGGGAGTATCAGTCGGTACCTGCCACACAGTGTTAAAAAAAGATTTGCGTTTGTTCTCCTATCGTTTAACTTGTCAGCAAGAACTTCATGAAGTTGATTTTCCGCGACGGGCTGTATTTTGTGAATGGTTTTTAAACAACTACGGTGAACTTCATAATATCACCTTTTTTTCTGATGAAGCCTGGTTTCATTTAAGTGGTTACGTAAACTCACAGAATATGAGAATGTGGTCTTCTGAAAAACCAGATAACTTTTTTGTCGAGGGCCCTCTACACGCTCAAAAAATTGGAGTTTGGTGTGCTCTCAATCGAAGGAGGATTTATGGACCTATTTTTTTTAATGGTACTCTTACTGCGCAAAGGTATAGAGAAGAAATTATCGCTCCTTTTGTTAACCAGCTGGAAGAAAACGAAATTACAAACTTTTACTTTCAACAAGATGGCGCAAGGGCACATACGGCAGGCGAGACGATGAATATGTTGAGGGAAGTTTTCCAAAATCGACTAATAAGTCTCAATGCTGAACATGAATTTCCACCGAGGTCATGTGATATTACGCCGTGTGATTTCTTTTTGTGGCCTTACCTTAAAAACACTATTTTTGAACTGCCTATTCCTGATTTAAACCATCTGCAGGCTCGACTTATAGACAAGATTCGTGAAATTAACAATACCCCGAGCATCTTAGAAAATGTCTTTAATTCTTTGAGGAACAGGTGTGAAAAGTGCTTGGAACAAGGAGGGGGACACTTTCAGCAGCTGCTTTAATTTATTGTTATAACAAGGAGGGGGACACTTTCCGCAGCTCCTTTAATTGTTTGTTATTGTTATCACGATTATTCTTTAAAATAAAGTTATATAGTCATTAACGTTATTGAAACTGACAGCTGCTATACAGCTCGTTGAGAAATGAGGTTAAGTTGGTCGCTATAAGCTACTCCCTACGTCCAATGTGTCAGAGCCAACTTCGACCACGTTTTTATTTGAACGCTCGT